CCCCACCCCCTTCCCAACCCATGGGGGAGAGGAGATTAATACAAAGAGATACACTTATTAAGTAAAGAAAAAGTACAACTATCATGCCCATCCCAAAAAATAATCCAGTTCAACTTGATAAAAAAATAGAACCTGTGTTGCTATCCCAGCATGATCCATTCCTGGCACCCACAAAGCATTGTAACCTGACATTCTACGCCAACGGATAATTGTATCCTGCATATAGTAAAGACAATAGAAGAACATATGTATTAAGACAGCTTTCCCTAGAGAACAAAACAAACAATAATGGGATAATTATTTGACCTGTATTGCAGCAGTAAGAGCATGACCAATATGTAGGGCCCCAGTTACATTAGGAGGTGGTAAAACCTGCAACAGTAATCAAAGAAATTAAAAGTCAAGGACAATTGATTGGACCCTTCAGGCAAAAACAAATAAATACTTTCATTCAACAATCTAAGAAAGAAAAACAAAACGATTACGCATTTAACAGAAAAGAATGCTCCAACTGGATACTTAATGGTACACAATGGGTGGGGAGATCAGCAAATGCTTTGGCTGATGGCTTGGGACAAATAGGGAAGTTTTGTTTTGGGCTCAGCTATAATGTTCATCTTTTCCTTTTCCTTTTAAGTTTCTTTGTAATCAGTTGAGAGAGGATGCAGCACGCGCATCTTCACGGGCTGCTGTATGAGATCTTCTTTTTCTTTTGAAGTAATAAAACTATCCTTATTCATCAAAAAAAATATGACACCCAATGGAAGGTAGATTTCATGAAAGTTGGGATAATGACTTAGAAGGGCTGTCACTAGAAACTACGAAGACTCTGCAGACACCCCTAGATGGGCCTTTCAAAGATCCTTGGAAATTGTTGTTTTACGGTAATAAAAAAAGAAATATTTTATTAAAAAAGAAAAAGAAAGGACAAAGGAAGGTGACCGGTAGTCACCCAATAGAAGAGAAAAGGCCTACAATTCCAGCACACCATACAAAGACTCGTAGAAAAAACAAACAAAAAACACCACAACGACACACACATGCAGCCTTAAATTACAAAGACCAAAAGAAAAAGCCTCAATTTTCCACAAGCTTAAATAGGAAAATCTTCTGCTAATCTTCTTAGTAGGTCCAATTCCAAACAAACCCCCTTCAATCTTGAAAACACCTTTCAAATTTGGATTGTTCGAGGAATTTTCTGGCTATTGAAATCTTCAAACCACATTAGACTTCTTCAAAACCCTGATAGATTTTTACCATCATTAATTCTTTTCCAATTGCAAAACCACATTTCTTTTAAATATCCCTGGAAATTGTCCTTCATATTTTTAGATAGATCTCTAGGGATCAGAGCAAAATGCTGGCAGATTATAGTGGGCCATCATTACCATATAACCTCTGTACATGTTGTAATGTTTGAATAGATTTTGATGGAATTGCTTCATTTTGTTTATATGCCCATCCTATACTCCTTTATGTAGTGGTTTTTTTCCTCATTTTATTAATGAAATGTTCGACTTTTCATACTCACAAAAATAAATGATGAGAAAATATCCAGTAAAAAAAGAAATCTTCAACAAAAAGTTATAAAACGGTTTGCTGAAAATAAAAATGAATGTTTGCATTCATCTCTATCATTATCTCTTGGAAAATATGCAGAACAGGAGGGGAAAAAAAACTGAGACAAGTAGGGAAATTTAGGGAGTTTATTTTTGAATAAACGCTTAGAATGGATTATCTCCACAAAAAAGCCAAGATAGGCTGGTTCTGGAGGGGCAAAGTAGGGATACGAATGAACTTTATCTGTCAACCATGTTATCTTTCTCTTACCTGTTGATGCAACTGCTTATAAGAAGATTTTAAGTAAACCTCAACAAAATAAATTGAAGAAAAAGAGTCAAATAGTACACTTAGGGTCTGTTTGTTTACCGAGAAAGGGATGAGAAAAGGGAATATTCCCGAATGATTCTCCCTTTCTTGTGTTTGTTTGTTGGTAAATAGTGTTTTGGGATGAGAAACAAGAGGGACACGGGATCCCAAACTGAAGTGAGCGGGATCGCACCAAAACAGTGTGACCCCGGTGGGAAAAGAAAAAGCTAAGAAAATTGCTCGGGCTTTGTCAAAGCAAGAAGTCGACAGTCTCCTCTCCCTTCGAAGTAGTAATCCAACGGCCATATCTCCGGTAGCTTCTCCGGCCATCTCTCTGAAAGGTAACACAAGATCCATGAATATCTCTCTCTAGCGGTCCTGTTCTACCCTTTTTTGTTGTTTTTCGGTCCATGGTTCTTTCTTCCCCAACCCCATGTTTTTCCCCTCAGTGGCTGGAAGCTCAGCCATTTTCTTCATTGTCTCCGGCAAAGGTTTTGCCGAAATAAAATCACACTCTCCACGAGCATGCATCCATGTCCAGATCTAACATTTTAACCCCATTTGCGTAGATCACTGAAACTTCGAATCCAATAGATTTTCTTTATGCCGTTACTCACTCTTTTTCTCTCTCATTTTTTGTAAGAAGTGAAGTGCTAAAGAATGAAATTGGTTTCACTGATTTACTTTTTTTTCTTTTTGAGTTTCAACCTTGAGGAAAGATTTACGAAGAATCCAAGTTTCTCCCTCTCATCCGGTTTAGGATACAGAAGGAGCCAGTTTTCCTCCTAGGTGAAGAAGCTTCCACTTCTGCTCCAGCTTTGGACAACGCTATTTCTGTCTGAAGTAAGAAAACTTTGATGATTGAAGTTTTTCTCTTTTCAAATTTCTTTCGCAAAACAAAACTCATAAATCCATTTGAATGTTTTGATAACATGAGCTGCATTTGCTTTGTCTTGAATAAAGTGTTCATGAGTTATGATTAATCATCTTAACCATGGGGTTATTCTGGGAAGCATCATGAGTCATGATGCTCAGTCCTTTAATTGTTTCTTTGACTTTATCTTGGCAGTTGTTGATGGACTTATGTCCCCTTGTTCTGATCATCGGCATCCAAATGTAAATATTTGGATGATTAATATTTTCCGATCTGAAGCAGCTTGTATTCAGAGACTTGCACCAGTAGCTTTTGTACAGAATTATAGTGATTTATCTTGGTACAGTGGTCTCTATGATTGACTATGAACCCAAATGTAAATCATTTTCTCCATGATCTTTACATGTTTGCTGTTTACATAACACAAGGATTTGATTAATGCAAATCAAACCGATGTGTACTGCACAATTTTTTTTTGGTGTTTTTTCTTTTAATTTTTCCAGGAGTAGACCTCTGGGTGGATTTGTTAAGCTCAATTTTTCTAGAAACAGAAGTTGTTTCTCTTCAGTTTGGTTGGGAGCTTGGTCTTTCTTCTGAGTATGTTGAAGGGGATAATAAGGTTATACAGGTTGTACCTAGGTGTGCCAATAAGGCTGCTGACTTCTTAGCTAAGTATGGTTTAAATGTCTACAGGGCCTAGACAAAAAGTCCTTTCCTGCAAACATGACTCCTTTGGCAGGGGTTAAGTAAGAAAGCAGACCAGTGTAAAACATGACTCCTTTGGCAGTTTGTTGGACCCTCTTGGTCAAAAGGAACAGTCACATCTTTGAACATAGTGCATCTCAGAGGATATGTTGGCAAGGAAACTGGTGAGAAGGCTGTAGTCATGGCTGTCTATTCATAAAAGTTTCAGAGGGTCGAGAATTTTCCTCTTGTAAAGTGCTTTCTGTAAACAGGAATGCATACTGCCATATAGATCCTATTGTACATTCCCAATATTTGGTGCCTTAGTATACAGGGGTCTTTGTAACTGTGTCTTTTGGTTAATACAATTCAATATTTTACACTAACAACAAAAAATAGGTACAAAAGGGGATCCAACTGTAGTGGAAGTAATGATTTGCTCATTGCATTTGCTAATTTGGTCATTTAGAAAAGTCTTTAAATGAAAAAGAAATTTGTTTGGGTCTCCAAAATGGCCAAATGTTTTTTAACTTACTTCCCCTTGTTCATGTGGTCAATTTTATCAGAAAATCCCTGCTTTCAAAATAAGCATTTTCAGTGGACTAGGATACAAGTCTTGTGTGGACTAGGAAAGTGAACGTGTAT